TTCGGCCCAATTTGGGTTCTTCACGGGCCCAATTGTCCCAAGATTAAGCTAATGGGATCACCTCCCATTTTCAACTTAATTATTAGTGCTAACTACGATAAATCCTAAGACAATTTCTGCAGCTTGCTCCGGTGCGTCAATCGCTTCTTCCAGCGAGTTTCCGGCGAGCTTCCGTCGATCATCCGATGAACCCTCGGTGATGCTTCTGCGGACTTCCTGCAAACTCCTGGACTTACGACGATCCACTTGGCAAGTTCCGACGAGCTTCTTTGGCAAGCTTCTGGACTTCTCGGATTTGTTCCCGCAGAACCTCCGACGACTGTCCGAACTTCCGTCGAGCTCTCGAACTCCCAACGTGATCATTGTCATGACTCCGGCGCAACTCCTGCTACATGTCTTACTTTCATCGTAGTTAATCCTGCACATGTAAAACAAAAACTTCGATCGAGACAATTAATCCTAAGCAATTAACCAAGTTGTCCGGCATGTCATTGGTCCCTCGACGCTTCGTCCGATTCTTCGGCGCATCGTCCTCTCCTACGGCCTAATGCCCAATCGGCCAGTTGACTCTGCAACTCCGATATCCTTGGCACAATACCCGCTCTTATTGGCCCGATGCCCGAGTCCACGGCCCGAAGCCTTCTGTCGATACGTCGACCGATCCACCGGCCCGACGTCCAATCTTCTAACATGTTCCTCCGGCCCAACATGATTTTCCTGCTTTAATTATCTCGTCCTGATCGAAGTATCCTGCGTCACTTAAAACGTAGATTAAATCACAAACATACATCAAGTGGTTTCATCATCAAAATACGAGATTCAACAGTTGGCTCTACTGAACGCAAATATTAACATATAGTTAAAACTAAGCTCACACTCGTACACCAAACCTCTATGCCACAAACTTTTTGGATTGCAACATTTCAAGCCGTCGTCTACCTCATTAATTGTATGCTCACTCCTGTCCTTGAATACGAGTCACCATTTGAAAAATTATTTCACAAATCCCCAAACCTTCAAAAACTCAAAGTGTTTAGATGTTTATGTTATCCATGGCTTCATCCCTATGCCTCACATAAGATAACATCAAAATCTAAACCTTATGTTTTCATTGGATACTCCCTTGACCATAATGTCTTTCGATGCTATGAACCCCAATCTCGAAAAGTCTTTACGTCCCATCATATTATTTTTATAGAGACTACCTTTCCATTTCACAACGCTGAGTCTCCTACTGTGCGACCCACTCCATCACATATACATTATTAGAGTACGTCATCAATCCCGTCAACCGAGTCTCCCATAATATCATCCAGTCCTTCTCCTCAGGATCCACACTCTCTCCTTCTCTTAGTGTAACAGCCCCTCACCCCCTCCATTGTGCCTCTCCCTTCTGCACAAGGTTCTCCTATGACTGAAGGCATTCCTTCGGAATCACATTCACTACCTTTATCCTCTTCTGGGACCAATGACACTGAAATCTCTCAACCTACCCTAATATGTTCCCCTCCACCGCCCATACCAACAACACTCTCTATAGCCCATGGACATCTAATGACAACATGCTCCAAAAGTGGTGTCTTTAAACCACGATAAATTCTTGACCTACATACCATCATAACATCCTCGTCAGAGACTACTGAACCTACCACAATTACTCAAGCCCAAAAATCTTCATACTAGCGTAAAGCCATGTGTGAAGAATATGATGTACTCTTCTATAATTCTACATGGACCTTTATACCCTCTCATCCCACACAAAACATCATCGGGTGTAAGTGGGTCTTTCGTATTAAGCGGAACTCAGATGGATCCGTAGCTAGATATAAAGCGCGTTTAGTGGCCAAAGGGTTTTATCAATGACCTGGTATTGACTTCACAAAGACATTCAGCCCTGTTATTAAACCCACAACAATCCGACTTATTCTAAGTTTGGTCATCTCAAAAAGCTGGCATTTACGTCAACTCGACGTTAACGATGTCTTTCTACAAGGGATCCTAACTGACGATGTTTTCATGCAGCAGCCTCCTGGCTTCATCAACCCTCAATATCGAAAGCATGTTTGTAAACTACAAAAAGCTATTTATGGACTTCGTCAGGCTCCAAGAGCTTGGTACACCGAACTTGGCTCGTTTTTTGCATCAATTGGCTTCATCAACTCTAAGTCTGATACCTCCTTATTTCTTCATCACCAAAGTAGTAATATATTATATTTTTCTGGTATATGTGGATGATATTATTGTCATAGGCAATAATCCTATGGAAATCAAGGCATTCCTCAAGCATTTAGCAGATCGATTCTCCCTTAAAGATCTAGGAACCTTGAGCTATTTTTTGGGAGTGGAAGCAACATACACATCTTCCGGGCTCTTCCTATCACAACGAAAGTATATTTAAGATCTATTATCTAAAACGAACATGCAAGATGCAAAGGCAGTTACAACACCTTTGTCTACTAGCGAGTCGCTCAAACTATGTAATGGAAGCCCTACTACGGACCCAACTCAATACCATCAAGTCCTTGGCTCCTTACAGTACTTATCTCTCACCCGTCCAGATATCTCATTTGCGGTCAATAAATTATCCCAATTCATGCATCGACCATCTACTATGCATTGGTCTGTAATCAAACAAATATTGCGATATCTTCACGGGACTATCAATCATGGCCTCTTTTTTCTCAAACACTCCCTCCTTCATCTCCATGCCTTTGCTGATGCTGATTGGGCAGAAAATTTTGATGACAAAACATCCATATCGGGGTATATTCTCTTCCTTGGACCTAATCTAATCAGTTGGAGTTCCAAAAAGTAAAAGACAATTGCACGTTCTACAACTGAAGCTAAATACCGTGTCATTGCCACCGCTGCTGCAGAACTCAATTGGGTCATGAATCTCCTCAAGGAACTTGGAATTAACATCAACTTTACTCTTACAATATATTATGACAATGTCGGAGCCACTTATCTATGCGTCAATCCAGTATTCCACTCACGCATGAAATACATCGCCATCGACATCGTCTTGTAGGGGCATGATAACAGTTAAGATCTCCCGTGATAACAACCTCAACAACAGCCATCATAAATCTGTTAAGGAAAATTCTTCTCTATTGAAAAAAATTCTCCATGTAGTATTATCTATTGTTTGAATCAATGCAATCATCAACTTTATATTTCATTTCTATCAAAACAAACGTTCTTCTCATGCGAAGAATTCAATCGAAGGAACAATATATCTTAATGAACAACGTGCACTTTTGCTATCCTCACACGGCTCTCACCGCCGCGAACCGCGGCTCCTTGGCCAAGAACTTCTGCTTCACGTACACATCCATGTAGTCCCCGAAAACGTACTTGGGGTACAGCGCTGTAGCAGAGCCGTCCTTGTTGGTCCCTGGAGCGATGGTGGCCTTCAAGGAGGGGTTGTAGAAGGAAGCGATGGAGCGGCGGTTGCCGTCGCTGGTCGTCAGCACCCGGTGCCACACGCTCTTGTACCGCCCGTTGCTGAGGACTTCGATCTGGTCTCCCGTGTTGATGACGATGGCATTGGCCACTGGCTGCACGTCGATCCACTGCCCGTCTTTAAGGATCTGCAGGCCGCCCACTTGGTCGTCTTGGAAGAGGAGGATGACGCCGCCTGCATCGGTGTGGGCGCGAAGGCCGTTCACCATTTCCAGGCGCGGGCACGGTGGGTAGTGGCTCACCTTGGTGCCGAAGAAGGGTTGATGCTCGCCGTTTCCGGAGAATGAGTTCCTGATGGAGCCCTTCTCGAACCCCAGATTCTCATCCATTACTTCCATCACCTTCTCAGCCAGCTTCCTCAGCTCTTCCCTGTACTCCTTCATGGTCTCCCTGCAAGATTGCGCATGAAGAGGGCATACATTAGGCACTTATAACTACATATCAATTAGCCTGACGAGCCCTGCGTGGAAGTTGATGATCACCTGAACTCTGGAGGGTTGGCCGGCCACTCGTTGTCATCCTGGAGAAGGAAGACATCCTCCCAATCCACGTTATCCAAGCGCTCGGCATCGGCGGCGTCGCCTTCTTCTTCCACCAGCTTGTTCAACAGCTGCACAGGTTTGGACGCCTTGAAGCCCTCCGCTCTGAGCCTGTAGCACTCGGAGCACACCTTCTTCACGCGTTCCAAGAGTTCCACTGGAATCCCATGGTTCACCAGCTGCAAAACAGGCCAGGTAGATTCCTCTGCTTTAGTACCAGCCTCAACTCGAAAAGATCCCTGTAAGGAGAAAGAAGGAACCGGACAAATGAGATGCAAACCTGAAAGAATCCCCATTCTTGGCATCCATTGGCAATCCGTGCCAAGGTTTCAGCTCTTTCCTTCCCCTCCAACTTCGAGAAATCGATGACTGGAATGGCCATTTCTAGCGAGGAGGAGATGATGCTGTGGTTGCAAATTATGCTTCTGTATTGCTTCTCGAATGGATCGATGAAGAGAAATGGAGCCAACTGGGACCTTTTATACTGCATCAAGCTTCCATATCAGATCTCACATACCAATCAGAGGAAATAACCGGGAACTAAGCCGTGTTCCTGGTCAAACCTTTTCTCCATGGTCAACTAAGCTGCCATCGTATCCCATCTCGAAGTACATTTAACAAGGAGATCTGCTCATGAAATGAACAACCAAAACGTTATGACGCAGCTCGACTTGGAAAATCTTAGATCACGTTGATAAGATGTCTACCTGACCCCCGCCCCCACCATACCAAACCTTGACTGGCTTTGACTACGAAGCATACACGAGGCTTCCTGGTTTCCATCATGGCTGTACGACATATTTCGTTTCTTCGTTACATTGTTTACAAGTTCAGCAATCTTCAGCGAACACGTACGTGTAGAATCTTAGCTGGGCTGGAAACGGGCTTCAAGATGGCAAACTGGCATACAAGTCCCAGTGAGTTCTATGGCTGGGCTTTTAATGAAGAACATCAAAGTTGGAGGAGAACCACAAGCATCATGGCGAACGCACGGAAGAGCTTATAATACCTGACACAACTTGGAATATAGGCTCCAGGTACTGTACGAAGCAAAGCACACAGACTCGACAACAGACTCAGTACGCAGTACTTGTATCATACAGATGTGCTGCACATGTCCAAGCAAGCAAGCATCTGTCGCTGATACCGACCTATAAATATACGACACTGATAAACTTAGATGGTCACACATTAAACTACCCTGGAGTGTATCATCTCCTTCCTGCATTTTCACAGAGCTGCTGCCACCGCCTGAAACCTTGGCTCCTTGGGGAGGAACTTCTGCTTCATATACACGTCCATGTAGTCCCCGAACACGAACTCGGGATACGAAGCACCAACCTCCCGGGGCTGGCTTGCGACAAGCTTGGTGGCGGGAGCAATGGTGGCCTTGAGGGAAGGGTTGTAGAAGGAGGCGATGGAGCGGCGGTTGCCGTGGGAGGAGACGAGCACGCGGTGCCACACGCTCTTGTACCGCCCGTTGCTGAGCACCTCGATCTGATCCCCGGTGTTGATCACGATGGAGTGCTTCACCGGCTGCACGTCGACCCACTTGTCGTCCTTCAGGATCTGGAGGCCGCCGACCTCGTCGTCCTGGAAGAGGAGGATGACTCCGCCGGCGTCGGTGTGGGCGCGGAGGCCGTCGACGAGGTCGAGCCGCGGGCAGGGAGGGTAGTGACTCACTTTGGTCCCGAAGAAGGGCTCGTGCTCGCCGTTTGCGGAGAATGCTCTGCTTATGTAGCCCCTCTCCAGTCCCAGGTTCTCGTCCATGGCTTCCATTACTCTCTCGGCTAACTTCCTCAGCTCTTTCCTGTACTCCCTCATCGTCTCCCTGAAAAGTTAGCCAAGAAGCATCAGTGACTCGATCCATTGAACTTCTCTCCTTTGATTCCTCGTCCTTGTGTTCTTACTTGAACTCAGGGGGATTAGATGGCCAGGGCTTATCATCTTGGAGGACGAACACATCCTCCCAATCGACGTCGTTCAGCCGCTCCACATTCCTTCCCTCACTTTCTTCCTCGACCAACTTGTTCAGCAACTGCACGGGGTTTGATTCCTTGAAGCTCTCCTGTCGCAACTTGTAGCACGCAGAACAGACCTTCTTCACACGTTCAAGAAGCTCCACTGGAATGCCATGGTTCGCCAGCTGCAGATGCAAAACACTGGTTAGAAGACGTCCAAGAGAAGAAACCATTACACTCACCAACTGCAAGCTAACGAACCTGAAAGAAGCCCCACTCTTCACATCCATTAGCAATCTGGGCCAGGGTTTCAGCCCTCTCCTCGCCATCCACCTTCGAGAAATCAATGACTGGAATCATGATGCCTCAAAGCTACAGAAGACTGGGAAACACCCTTCTGCAATGGATGTGAAGGAATGGAAGGCCTCTGGGGGGGTTTTTATAGTGCAAACATCGTGGATGTCAACTACTAGTTTATATCTAAAGGAAACCCGATCATCATTTCGGCCGCTGTTCTTAATCTGCTCCATGAGTCGGCAAGTGAATGAATGCATTGAACGTGCACTGGTCGTCTGATCATGTCACAGACTCCATCATCATCACCCCCATAACTCACGAACACTAACAGAGCTGGACCATTCCCTTTGTCATGCACATCCATGCCGCTCTGTCCTACGCATCAGTGACACCGCTGACAGCCCCTCACGTCTCTTCTCCACCCTGCATGGGAACAAGTGTTGTTGCTTGTTGTAGCCATCTGAAAGGTAGCTGCACATCTGCAGTGGTCACATGAGATAGACCATTAATTATTGGTGCTTCTGAGGCCCTCATCGAAACGTAACATTTGATCATTCACAGCATCTTGAGGTTGCTGCATTCGGTGTTCATGTTGGCAGTTGTCCGAGCATCCCGCTGCCGACTTCTCATGTGTCCCAAACCGCATCCCCCCCCCCCCACCCCCCCGGCCCTCTTGACTTGTTCCGCTTCCAAACAATGATATCCCTTCATCTTCTGCAGAGATGACTTCGGTGGATTAAAGAACAAATCATTAATTTCTACGTCAAATAAGGCTTCTGACACACAAAACTGGTAACACGTCTTCAGAATACACACACAAAACAGCTCATCCTCTGAAGAACAGCTGCAGCCAACAGAGAAGAGAAAGATACATTACTCTTACCTCACTGCATTTATTATCTGACGGAGAGAAGAAAGCCAAATGGATGCATCTACAGTAACTCTTACCTAATCCTGCATACAGCCACCAGTTCTGCCGGGGGGTCCAAGTGCCCATCACCTTGGTTGCTGTCTCCATCGTCGTGAACTCATTCTTTGTGCTTCATCGAAGACTGGGATCCAAGAAGCCACGAAAAGAAACTAGAGCAGCTGAAGAGACAGTAAACTAGAAAAACCCAACCACAAGCAAACACCTTCTAGGCTTGGAGTGTATCATTCATTAGTCCACTGCAGCTCTTCCTCCGATGCAGTGTGCAGTTGCTGCTCTGAGTTCAATGTCTTCACTGCCCCATGGTTTAGGTTCAGTGTCTTCCGTAATGATTCAGTCATGAAAAAAAAGGGCAGGAATGGATTAAAAAATTGCCCAATCTCTCATTTCAAGAACTCATAATAGATTGAGGACAGGAATTCTTTAATGAACTCAATCCATCAGATAGATATTTTTCCCATCATACGTGAAAGAACAGACCAGAGCATCTATTTTTTACGACATCATGGCGATATTCTACATCATATTAATGGGACATCATCTGCTGTGGGATTTGGAGATCAGATTGGTTGTTCATCAATTAATGCTTTGTAGTGTAGTTGTCACTCCTACGGCAAGTAGTACATTGTAGGGGGACTGAAGGAGTAGCTTTCTTCTGAGCCGTTCGTATACTTAATTAATGTGCGGTTTTCCTAATACTTCACATGCCTCTCTGGTCAAACATTTGTTTGTTGAAGTCAGTCACGCAGCATTGCAATTGCAACACATCATTTGGTGGGCATTATAATATTGTTGGGCCAATTTGGAGCCGAACCCAATCCGAGTTAAGATGATTGAGGCTGGGTTGGGCTTGTTCAAGTAGACTCGAGTTGGTTCGGATTGGGTTGGGTCACCACCGCGTCAATCGACAACATTTCTCGCTCGTCCTTCTGCAGGGAGGGAGGGGAAAGGAGAGGAAGACCTCCAAGCACCGAAAGAAAACCCATTTCGATCAACTGCATCTCTTCCGGATCGAGATTGCAAGATTCCTCGCTGGTTCATTTAGAGAAGAGAAGTGAGATAGAGAGACGCAGAGACCTTAATGATCGATGGCACCACTCCAGGGGTCGCCACCGCCGCGAGATTCTCCACCACCATCGGTCGATTGGTCGCTCGTTCTTTTGGAGATGGAAGAAGACGAAGGCCTCCAAGAATCGGAAGGAAACCCGCAACGATCAATTGCAGCGTTCCGGGGATTTCCGCAACGTTCGCCACGGCCGTCCATAAGAAGGAAGATTTTTCGCTCGATCTTCTGTGAATACGGATAAGGGGAGACTAAGACCTCCAAGAACCCAAAGAAAGCCCTCGATATGATCGAGTGCACCACTCCAGGGTCGAGATCGTCTCAACATTCATCGCCATCAACGATGAGTAAGATTTCCTCGTTCCTTCTTTACGAAAAGATAGAGAAAGCGAGACGATACCTTTAATATGTACATTAAATTAAAGGTTTAAATCTCTGCCTGATAATAGTTTTGGTTGGAATGATACATTATTGTTGTACGGAACGGAATTCCAATATGCGCCATTTGGTATCATCAGACAAAAGAATAGATACCTATTGGTACTGATATGAACTGGTAATGATCCTTAGTATTTGAAACCTTTATGTAAATGAAGTAACATAAGTAGTTACTAATGTTAACATCTTGTCTGCTATTAATTCTTCAACAGATAAGTATAGTAAGATGCATTCAGTATGAGTATGCAAAATCAAACATGCATGCTGATAGAAAGGAGGTGAAATGGGGGCAGGGGAGAGGGAAAGATAGGAGATGGATGCTGGGGTTTTAAAATTCTGATCCTATATATGCTACCCTTAATATATATTTAAATGTGTGTGGAGTCACAACTTTTTGGTAATTTTTATACTAGATGGATTTCAAACTGGGTTGCTTAGTGTATGCTTCACAAGCATGCTAGCTCTCCATGCAGGGTGAAATCTGACTAGAGCTGACTAGCACTACTAGCCTTTAAAGGTATTACCATTTACTTCATCCGGAACTCAATACCATCGGTATGTAAGTTTATCTGTAATAGTATTCTGATATGTTGCTTCGTTCCAGCTTCACTTGACTTCCACAAGTCATTTCCTGATGACATATTCTTCTCATAATGTTGGATTACATCTTTATGGTGGTGTGCAATATCATCATGCAATGGCAAAATTTCATCTTATTGTTGGAGGTGTCAAGTGTACACCAAATCATTTGGATTCCTCCACCTTGTTAGAAGTATTACTACCTACATCATGGTAGGCAAAGGGCTCGAATCTGGATGGAGAAGAGAAACAAAAAAAATGTCCTCCAATTACCAAGCAGACTGAGATACTCATGATGGAACAGACTACTTGTTGGAATTAAACTTGTCAAGATATCATAAAGAGGTTTATTGTATCAGGAGGTGAAACATATTAAATGCCTATAGAAGGATAAACCAAATTGACTATTGGTTCTTAAAAGAGTCTCTTGAAAAAGAGTGATTCATATTAAATATAATGAATGCAATGTATCTATGGGAATTGTAAAAACCCCATGTGTTGGGTCATGAAACATAGAGAGTTTTTGAAGTTATATAGAGTTTTTGAAGTTGTAGAGAGTTTTTGAGTTAAACATAAAATATTTTGTCTTGTGCTACTCTTCCTTTGTGTGATAGCTCTATCTCTTCTCCTTATCTAGTTAAACATTTAATATCAGAGCTCAAGTTAAGTTATGACCTCTTCCTCAAGCCACATCTAACTCTAGATCCTTACGTTGATAAAAGAAAATTATGATATATGGTGCATCCAAATGAAGGTTCTTTTAGGCTCCCAAGATGTATAAAAATTTGTAAAAGATGGATTTGTTGAACCAAGTCCGATAGAAGAAGAAGCAATGAATGCAGAAGTAAGAAAACAACTCAAAGATAAAAGAAAGAAGGAGAAAAAAGCTTTGTTCATGATTTATCAAGGGCTTAATGATATAATATTCGAGATCATCGCTCCAGCAAATACTTTAAAAGAGGCTTGGGAAATATTTTAAAAAGTATTCAGTAGTGTGGACAAGATAAAAAAGCTTCGTCTACAAGTTTTATGAGCTGAGTTTGAAACATTACAGCAAGGTACTTTTGAATTTATTCTTGATTACTTATCAAAAATCATTTTTATTATTCATCAAATGAGACTAAATGGTGAAACTAAGATCTCTAGATCCAAAGTTTGATTTTATTGCTGTAGCAATTGAAGAGTCTAAATATTTAGAACAAATATCTTCAGAACAACTAATGGATTCTCTTCAAGTTCTTGAACAACGGCTTACAAAAAGAGAAGAAAAATCTAAAGAGCAAGCACTACAATCCAAACTTACTCTTGAAAACAAAAGTGAATCAAAATCTCAAAGAGGAAAAGGTTGTGGACAAAGAAGAAGAGACGACAAAAATCAGACCAATCAAGAATCTCAAATAATGAAGGTGATGGAGAAAATTATAGTCAAAGAGGCCGAGATTATGATCCGGGACATGATCGAGGAGATGGATGTGACAAAAATTATAAAAGATCTGAAATACAATATTATGTTTACAAAAGGTATGGCCACTACAACTTTGAATGTTAGTATAATCCGAACAATCAAGGTGATAAGATAAATTTTATTGAAAAAAAAGAGAAGAACAAAAATCATATTTTGTTAATGACTTATGATAATTTGAACAAAGATCAATCTATGACATAGTATCTAGATACAGGAGCTTCAAATCACTTGTGTGGCATCAAAGAACTATTTTTCGAAATAAATATGTTATTTCGGCAACATTACATTTAGTGATCTGTCTCAAAAACTAGTAAGAGGTAAAGGTAAATTTTTTCTTGGACTTAATAATGACAAAGAATTATGCATTACAGATGTATATTATGTTCCTAATATAAAAAAAAAATTATGATCTTAGGACAATTACTTGAAAAAAAGTTATGATATTTAGATGAATGATATGACTCATTCAATTCGTGATAAGGATAAAACAATAATCTCACATGTGAAAATGATGGAGAATATATTGTTTCCTTTACATTTATGTATTTTTGATAAGTCAAATTGTTTTAAAACTAATATTGAGGACGATTCTACGTTATGACATTTTAGATATGCTCACTCAAATTTTGAGATTTTAAAACTTTTATAGAAATAATATGGTGACAGAATTACCAAGA